AATATATTTATAAAAGCATGACTGTGATAAATGACTTTCAGAATCAAAATATGCTACAATAGGCTGGGGATTTAGGTCAGTGATTCCACTGCCTCCCTTACAAGCACAAGGTTCTGAGTTTGATCCCTAGTACCCCCTGCCAAAAAGAAAAAAAGCTACAATAGGATAAAATTCTGTGGAGAAAATGGAATAGAAATACAAATGCAAGATAAAAATGGAATGACATAAAATTTCCACCTTTTGAAAAAACAGCATGTTTGTGTGTTTTTAAGTGACTGATATTAAGTGATACTGAAATATTAAAATTTTATTGGAAATATTTAAAAAGGGATTCTTTTATTTTAAAATAGTGACACATATCAGAAGTTACATCTTTTGGCTAGGATGAAAAATTTTTAACATCAGCATAAAAATGCTTGAGGGAGTTCATGGCTTCTCAAAATTATTCTCCATGGTATGTAAGAAAACAAATGAAAATAACTAGCATGAAACCTTTGGCCCCTACAGATGCTTCAACATGTGACTACAGAAGCCTTCCCTACCAAGGCCTGGGCACGACGCAGATGACAGGCCCAGGGCTGGACAGGGGCTTTCTAGAATCCAGCAGCCATGACGGTAGTGGAGAGGAGAGCAGAAGGCGGTCCCAGGAAGCTCTGCAGGAAGAGAGCCCAGCAGGGCATGGGGCAGCTACTCCTGGGTGCCAGATAAAAGCAGCACAGAAAGGTTGATCCTCTTGCCATACAGAAGATCATCACTGCTCAGGAGCAAAAATATGCCCCCACATATAGGATGGCCACAAAAGCAAATAACTTCTAATCCATATAATTAAAAGAAAAAAGATGTTGCTTTTTCCTAATACTCAATAGCAAGTTCTCCTAGCCTTGAAAACAATGAATTAAAATGGGTAAAGAAGGAACAGACATCATGCAGTTCCTTCCTACAAGCAAAACCAACTGCACACACAAAGAAGGCGAACCAAGGGAACTACTTTCTCTCTCACCCAGCAACTTCCTCCATCCCATGAGGAACCCTTGGTCCTTTCTTTGTTGAATGGACCTTTCACAAAGGAAATCTGCAATGACATATCATGTGTGCAAAGAAATGACAGGTAACAGTCATGCTGGCTTTGAATAAAACACTTAACTTCAGTCAGCTGGAGAGGTCTAATCAGTACACACTCTATTACCATTCAGTTTTGCTGAGATTTCCAGTCTCCCTTTGAACAAGGTCGAAAAGGTTCCAAGTCAGACCTAAAGCTCTTTGAAATCCAGAGGGAAAAGGGATTTAACAAGCAAGAAACTCTAATGACAGTGTAGGGACCCTCACAGAGCCTGTTGGACAGGCAGGGGGGAGGGGCAGAAAGAGGCCAGGGCTGTAAGGAGAGCAAGCCACAAACACCAGAGAGCTGCATGACTCTGGTCCAGAGTAGCTGCTCTAGTGCAACTATCAGCACTCCAACAATGGCTTCCTATCCTGACACTTGATGTTAGCCACAGAAGGAGCACATAAACCTGAAAGAGAAATCATATTCAAAAGAAAGGAAACTAACAGGTGTTGTGGATAGTACTGTCTCAGATTACAAAACTTTTTCCAATTAATAAATGGGTTGAGTGAGAAACAAAATTGTGACCAGCTCTAGTGCTCTCAGAAGTGTGGGGTCACATAACAGAAAGTAAGTTTATTCAAGTGAATAATGATCAAGAATGTTTCCTGGCTGTCATTTTTCTTTCTCTCAACCAATTGGGCTGCACATCCATGAGGCACTCGAGGAAGTGTAGGGAGTACTGAGATCCAATATTTATTCTTTTCTCTTAGGAGACAGTGGGCAGCAGCAAAGCACTGACATTACATACCACAATACAGTTCAGACTCTGAAGCATTCATAGGCTAAGGTGGAAGCTCACCAAAGGCCCACTTCACCCAGCTTGAGGGCTCAAAATCTTCATGGAGGAAGAGATGCAGGAAGAAATTTGAAAACAAAAAGGAACCATGCAAAAGACAGAAGGGATTCCAGGCACCATGCAAAGAGCAAAAAGAAAGTAGCAAATATGAGGAAGTGCAAGCACTTCAGCATGGCTGAAGCAGAGGTACCAAAACAAGAGAGAGTAAAGTGAAAAAGAAGACAGAGGCTGAGTCACAAAGGGCCTTGAGTTCCAGGCTAAAATGTCTGCAACTTAATCCCAAGGCAACTGGGGAGTCATTAAAAGAGTGGTAGTAAACTGGATGTGGTGTTACATGCCTGTAAGCCCTCACTCTGGAGAGGCAGGAGGATCATGAGTTTGAGGCCAGCCTGAGCTACACAGCAAGTTCAGGTCAGTGTGGACTACACAGTGAAACTCTGCCTCACCTCCACTCCTCCCCAAGAAGCCTTAAGCAAGCAAGTGGCATAATCACATTTGATTTGAGCCTCTCTTCAGCCAGTAGCAACACGGACACAAGTCTTGAGAAGGATACACTCAAAGGCAGGGAGACTCATCAAGGGACTGCTACAGTAAGCCAAGAGAGAAATCGAGTCCAAACCAAGGTATCAAGTAACAGGATGGAAAAAAAAGTTTCAGAGACCACAGAAGAGTAAAGCTCAAGACCCTCGGAACTGCATAAATATAATGGTGTGCTGGTAAATGTTTAATCATTTCTTAAAAAAAGAAAAAGAATGCTCTGATTTGTAGTCTTTGCCAATTTCTATGGTGCAGGTGCTCCCACAGGATATCTCTTAACGTGGAGCAAATCAGCTCCAACACCAGCACCAGGAAGTGAGCCCTGAGAACAGGGAAGAGTCTGGGAAAAGTCAAATCTTTCTAGTTTAAGGACCCAAACAGGATAGGAAATGTAGTTCATTCATTCGGTCTGGGATACACAGAGTTAGAGGAACCTACAGCCTTCTGTGTAACGATGTCCAGCAGGCAGGCAGGCACGTGGGTGTTCAATCCTGCAGAGAAAAATCCTGTTAGACATTACAGACGTCACGAATGCCAAGAGGAACTGTATACAGACCAGAAAGACGTGAGAGTGAGAGTCAGAACCCTGGGAAATGCTAAAATTAAAAGAGTAGAGAAGAAGTTTATGCAGACATTTGAGAAGTAGCTTAAAGGAAGGATCCCTCAGGACCAATCTGCCAAATAGCCAAGTCTCTGACATCATTTCACCAAAACAGGAAGTCATTAAAGTTACCAAAGTCATCTATTTTTTAAATCCTATTTCTTTTAATTATGGGTAAAGTAATTATTCACTAGATGGACTTGTTTTCAGCAAACTGGCCTATTTGAAGAACGGAAGCCGAAAGCGGGAGTTTTAAGAACCTTGAACAAGTTGTAACAGCACAGGAGTGGTCAATAGTTCTACAAGGAGAAACACCCTGCGGTAAGCTCACTCTCCACACCCTGTGGAAGGGTCCAGTAGGGTCCTGTGGAAGGGGGTGTGGGGGACAGAGAGGTGATGTGGGAGCTGTCCCTGAACAGAAAGCAGGGGGAATCAATGCCAGGAGGACTAGGAGGAGAGGGTATTGGTTATTTTTTCTTTTGGTTGCAAACTGTGAGACTTAATGATGTTTACATGTTAAGTGGGAAGATCTAGCGTTTTTAGATTGAACCAATAAACAAACTTCAGAGTGATTAAAGCCCTAATATTTCAGTCAAGGAAGGGAAATGTGACACAGAGGAAACAGGAGAGGGAGGGTATATGTCCCTGAGTTATTTCGGGAGCAATTCTTCTTCAGTTAGGTCATTTCCTTTCACCAGGATAATCAAGGTATGTGTCACCCACCTAGGGGCTCTGAAATGATTTTGGGAAAATCCTGGAAGAACATTTTCTCAATGATGTGGTCTGTCCCTGAGTTCACAGTAAAGGAGAACCAACCCCAAAAGCAAGCAGCCTTACAGCTTGCTTTCATAGCCCCAAGATCTTTACATGGCCACACAAAACCGTTTCTGACCCCCGCTCTTCACTGTCCCAAGCCCATACTCACTGTCACTTTCCTTCTCTGCTGATAACCTACCCTTCCCAATGGCTTCCCATTTTACTGAGGAAAAATGATGCGGGGTTTTTGAGGGGAGAAGGGCAACAGACAAATTCAAAATGTACTTTGCAAGTATGTGATACCCACATGATGTATTCTTTTTCTTGTATTTTCAATAAAATATGTGGAGATCAAGTTAGTGGCCTGCTTAATTAAAGATCACAAATATTATATCTATATTATACTTTTCCAAAACTATTACCTAACCATTACTGAAGAGTTATTAATCCTTATACATAAACTCACTGTCTTAAACATGTTCAGCTATCTTCTCAAGAAGATCACACTTTAGGATCTTCATTAGAGCTTAGCAATTTGCTAAGAGTCAAGAATAGAATTTATAGGTCTCCTGTTATAACACCCTGGTCACTGTATACATCACGTATGCCATGCTTTTCAACAGGCATCCTACTAAGAAGATTTGTGATAACTGCTTTATGGAAGTTTTATTTTATTTCTCTTTTTAACAAAGGGCTCTCAAGTCAGTTCACAAGGATACAACAGATTGTTAATGATGCTTTTACATAAGGTTTACTTTTCCTTCTTTTCTTTATAAACTAACAAACAACATCTTCTGACCATTTATCCAACTATCAATTCTTTTCTTTTTTTTTGTACCGGGGATCGAACTCGGGTCCTTGCACTTGCGCAGCAGGCGACGAAACCACTGAGCTAAATCCCCGGCCCCCGGAACTATCAGTTCTTAAAGGGAAATTTCTGACTCTCAAACAGAAACTCCTGCCATACAATGTATGTAGATAACTATATTCCAGGTAAATGGCAAAACAAAGATAGTTGCTTCAATTGTGAAAATTTAAAACTATAACTATAACGAACCAAAGAGACCAGAGAAACAATATACTTAGGCTCATTAAAGGGCATCCCTGTTCTACACTGAAAATCAAATCTCATAGAAAATCAAGATTTATGCTATCAACATGAACTTTTTTTGTTGCTTAAAAGATAAAATAAATTAGTGACCTACCGTCCGTCTGAGATTTACTGAGGAATATTGTGCTGGCCCGAGGATGATCTGAAGGATTGAATTCCATGTTCAAATCTTTTAAAGAAAGAAAAGGAAATTATATGAATTACCATCTGGTAATCGGAGAGAGCCAAGATTAATTTTCAATTTTTTCAACCTCAAGTTGCTAATACATTCTAAAATTCTGGAAACCTACAGTTACTGTATTAATAGATTTGTTTGGTTCAATTGAGAACACTGCTATTTAGAAATCCGAAAAAGACATACATATAAATTAGAGGCTTGATTAGAGCTGTTAGCCTAAAACTCCATTTTCTATTGAAAAGTCTTCTTTGCACCCAAGAGACCAGAAAATAACAGGACAAAGTTATTAGGAAATGAACTGTACAGTTACCTAAGTGGTAGTTCCTAGTCTAAGATGATTAAAATCGTTTATCTCAACTAGTTAGGCTGAATTAGTACCCACACATTCCACTTAGTGAAGATTATTTTGAAAGGCAAACTTTATACTTAAGCTTAGAGCAAACACTGTATATAAATCATGTGTGGGCCTAATCTGGGCCACATGTGTTCCGTTTGACCTAAACCTGGGGTGGGGGGGGGTTACATAAAAATCAAGAATTTTTAAACACACACCACCAAAGAAAAAATACTTATTTCTAGCTTCTCTAGTGAAATCAGTTCATTTGGCAGCACCAGGTCCCTGTGGACAAGACCCCATTCCCTGGGTAACAAGTCCTTGTTCTTCTGCCATCCAGGCACTTGGTTCTGTGGTCCTGCTTCCGAACACCCTCCCTCCAAGCATTAGGAGCTGGTCCATACATATACACAGCTCAGAATCCCGACACAGAAGAGCTTTTTGCAGTTTCTTAAAACCCAAAACCCAAACTAATTCCATAGGAAAGAAATGGTGAAGCAAACCAAGAAAACTGGGGTAGGGGAGGAAAGAGAGAAGATAAAAATTACTGAGATCAGAATGATCTTCCAATCTGCTTATGGTATCAGAATGGAAACTATGAGATAAATTATTTTAACAAATTTCCAAAGACACTGATCAACACCAATAAAAAGAGATGATGTCCATCCTATCTCTAACAGATAATCAAGTTGGAATATCATCACTGGAGGACACTGAGTCCCTTATCCACACAGACTTATCCTCAGCAAGCCCCTGACATGAAACATGTTTTCCCACATCAGCTGATCACTTTCTGGAACACAGTTCCTAATCTCTCACTGGGAACTTGATTAAAGAAATACCTATCGAGTCTTAAACACAAGCTACAGCAAATATCTGGTCCTCTTGGTATTAAATAACTTGTACTAAGTTATAATGAATTCCACAATGAAACAAGGAGTTTGATGAAAGCAGAAGAAAGAATTTTTCAAATTTTCTTCAATTTGAATTAAAGTTAAATCAGAAATTTCCTGGTGAAAATGACTCTTAGTGAGGGGGCTTCCTGTTCAACTACAAACTTGTTATTAAAGAAGAAGGAAGAAGGAAGAAGGAACAGGAGGAGGAGGGAAGGAAGGAAGAAGGAAGGAAAGAAAGGGGAGAGGGAGAGGGACCAGGAGAAGAAAGCTGGGCGTGGTGGTGCAAGCCTGAAGATCCACTACTCTGAGAGGTTGAGGCAGGAAATGACAAATTCTAGCCCAGCCTGAGCAATTTTGTGACTTTGTGAGACCCCTGCCTCAAAATAAAAAAGTAAAAGGACTGCAGATGCAGCTCCATGTTAAGGCCCCAGGTTCAATGCCCAGTAGGAAGAGGAGGAAGAGGAAGAGGAAGAGAAAGGTAAACAACAAATGTCCTACTAGATTTTTGAGGAGAGATGGGTAGACAGAGGATGAATATGTGGTGCTAAGCAGCACAGAAGCTGTTACTTTCAGAGCCTTATAACCACCACCCCTCAACAGAGAAGCATCAGCTGAAGCAAAATGTGTACCCACGGCCTACGTGTTGGTGGGGCAACATCAAGAACTCTGTCCCCAGAACGTTAGCACCACAGTTCTTACCTCGTTCCTAACACCCAACTCTGACTCACCTGTCAAACCACTTTCATTAAGACTCACTTTTATTACTGCAATGTATCAGCAGGGGTTTGCAGAACAAGCTTTCCTGTTTGAAGTAAAAAAGTACACAGACTGCCACTTCTTAGAGCAGGGATGCTATTCCTAAACCCAAACGATCTGGAGGGCAAAGGCCAGGCTATCTGGAGGTTCAAATGTCTTGCTATAATGTTCTCAAGTCCTCAAAATTGCTAAGACAGGGAACATCACAGATTCTAAGAGAGGGGTTCCAATAATTGGGCATCTGTTAAATAATATTTGTAGATGGTGAAATGGTATCCACCATCAAAAAATCAGGTGAAGGATATTTACTGACAAAGAAACAGATACTATATGTCACTGGGTGAAGAAAGCAGTAAAAATCACTTTGGAATATAGGTGTAGGCATAGAAAACATATCCAAAGGAATATACACCAATGTTTGGTCAACTCTGAATAATGCAATAGGGGTTTGGTTTTGTTTTCTTGTATTTTCTACATTTTCTGCATTGAGCACACTTGCTAGTGTTTCCAAAAGATGCTCTGGTTCTCTCCAGCCTGAGGCCACTGGACCCTCTCCTGATGTCAGAGGACACTCACAGGTGGTCACCAAGCTAAGTCTCACCCAGCACTGTGCATCTGCTCTCGGAAATCATGAGGAAAACACCAAATCAAGGGGGCCTCTGAGGTAGGTGCCTCACCCTGCCACTGCTGCGGCTCTGAGTCTTCCTTCTTTGTACTTTCACCAGGGCCAGCAGGAAAAGGAGAGTGATCTGGCTTTTCCTTCTACGGGAAACAAAATAGCAGGAATTCTGTTTCAGATTTTCCCCATGAAAGTGCAATACAAGGACATGGCTGTCACTCCATGTTTCAAAACCATGTCATAATTCCAGTCTGTACATAATGCTCACCATAGCACAGGTGCTTCTTGATGGATGACAGGCAAGTATCACCTTTACCTGACTCAGGGATGCAGAACGAGCCATGCAGGGTTAGAGGGCACTTCAATACTGAGGCCTCATGTGACAGCCACGATGAGGGGGTAGGGGTGAGTATCCAGCTGCCTGGTGACAAGACTGGAACCAAAACTCAGCCTCTGGCTCAAATCCAGAGCTTTTCCTGCTGTCCCTGCAAGGCCACAGCTCAGCTCAGATCCTGGCTGTGCCAGAAGGACAGGACCTGCATTAGGGTGAAGTAAAGGCAGATGCTGAGGGAAAGCTGAAGCCCTACAGGCGGAGTTCACACAACAAATAAGGTTCCTCAATTTCTCCCTGAACTCTAAATTTTAGGCTCTAGACTGTGGATGATAACCAATTTTCCAAACAAAGAAAAATCAAGGAATTCTCTGCTTCTGAACACAAGGGTTTACAGGGCAATTAAGGGACTCTTCTGTGATCATCAGCTAGTTGTTATTTCAAAGCATGTTTACACATCTTAGGAAACAACATTTTCTTGAGTTTCCTGTACACTTAGAAATAGCTCTTGTGCTAGTTTGCACTTTTCTCCAGTCCTAACGCAGAACTTAGGTTCCACAGATTTATACTCTATAGTGACAAAGAACAAGGTCATGAAACTCAATGCCAGGTGCCAGGCAATGGGCTACCTCTGCCCACAACCAATCTGAGATCTGATTTCTCTGAGTACCTACAATGTGAAGGTGGGTGCTATGGTTTTGGTGTGGTTTGTATGGATCTCCCAAGCCTTCCTGTATTGAAAATTCATCCTCATTTTGAAGTATTATAGGGACAGAAACTTAATTCAGCTATGTGTCCTCAGATGATTAGGGTTAGATAAACCCATTAGAAGGAGCCCCTATGACTGAGTTCTTGTGGGTTTATAAGAAGAGCAGGAGAGATCAGAAGATCTCTGTTTCTACCAGTAAGGAGGGCATCACCACATGAGGCCCCGAGATGTTGCATTAGAACTGTTTGCCAAAATCTCTTTTCTTTATAAAGCAGCCTGCCTCAGGTACTCCATTACACTAATGAAAAACAGGCTAATACAGTGGTCCATTCACATAGCACAGCTTATTGGGAATTGATCTAGTGTTCCTAAGGTGCAACACAAAGCAATGCAGAACCACCAGGCAGTTCACGTGATTCAAGTCTAAGAGACTGGTCTCATATCTTGAGGTAAAATGTGGTTATTATAACATATGCTTTGCCATGGTAACTCCCAACTTTTCAAGGAACTAAAAGTGGGAAAAGACATCATTCTCACAAGCCAAGCAAAATAAACCGATGGTATCATTCAAATTTATCAGTCTACATTCAGACAGGACAAAACTGCCACTTCAAAAATAAGGAAAAAAACCTCCTCCCACTGCACACTCAAGAAAAAATAGTACCCTCAACATGTGTGAGTCCGTCCACAGCTGCAGAGTGCAGTGGCACCAGCTCAGCTAGAGGATGTTTCCAAATGATTAAATGAGGGGGTCTGCACAATACTGAGGGGACTTTTTTTTCTTTGAGACAGGATCTAGCTGTGTAGCCTAGGCTGGCTTTGAACTCGTGGCAATCCTCCTCACTCAGGCTCCCAAATGCGGGGATTACAAGAATGGCTCACCACACTCAGATGGAATATAGAGTTTAAAATCAGATATTATAGATGAACTTCACAGCTGAAGAATGCTAACCAGTTTGCTAAAGTCAGCTATGAAGAAAAGCATTACTATCTATTTTTTTCTTATTTTTTATTGGAAATTTACACCGTTACATAATATCTCGGTTATTATTTTTTCCCCATTTCCCTGCAACCCCTCCATCTCTCCCAATTTACATAGACTTTGTTTCCATTTTTACATTTTCTCATATTGACTCCATTTCCTTTCCCCTACCCCTCCCACTTCCCCTTCCCCTTTGCCCTTTTTCTTCCTATATCACATTATCTATTATACCTTTTAGTACTTATTTACACTTTCAGTTTCTCACACTACAGAAACTATTTGGTATTTACACATGTGTGTCCTGTTTATTTCACTTAACAGTATCACCTCAATGTGGATCCATTTAGCTATAAATGTCTCTAAT